ATGTTTCCTTACAGCTACTTCAGAGTGAATGAACTCTCGGTTTAACACTGGATTCCACCTCCAAACACAAGGTTTAAGAAAAAAAAAAAGAAGGTTTTAGGAATACCAGAATCCTGTTTAGCAGAATGTGCCTCCTTTCATTAACAAAGGAACTCATTAAAACTGGGGCTGCAGATTTCTCCAGAAGCTGGTGGGTTGTACGGTCTCTCTGCCACACACGGGGAAAAAGCAGCCATCAACAAGCGAGTAAATGAATGACCGTGGCTACGTCCTACCACAGTTTAACTCAGGGGCACTGGCACTTGAACTTCACACTTTTCATGTGTCTTGGAATCTGAGTTTTGATTTCAACCATTCAGTAATGTAAAAAATCATTACTCACTGGGCCGAGGCAGGATATGCCCTGTACACACTGCAGTTAGTTTCTAAGGTGCTGCGACAGGAGAAAGACTCCCGTGCACAAGAACGTCTGCGTGGATCTGCAGCACTCCTTTCTCCTGTGGGCTACTGCAGACCTCACAGGTAGGAGACCACCTGTGAGCTGTCACCCAGAACACTGCCTGCTGTCACTGCAGCACTGAAACTCAGCTACAGAGGTGGTTTTCAAGGGTGGCAACCTGCAAGCCAAACACCTATCCGTTCCTTAAAGGTGCATTCACAAACACCCCCCCCACCCCATGTGGGGATCCCAGGCAGGGGACAGGATCTTACTGATCCCTAGAGGAGGCCTGGTTTTAATGTCTGCTTAGGACGGAGGCAGCCTGCAAGCAGTGCCACTGCAGAACACACGTACACCCACAAGAAGGTCAGAGACAAGGCCTCTCAGGCCTCAAGGCAAAGGCAAGCATGGCGCACAGCTAGGCTTCCTTTACGTGATGAGAGTGCAAGTCCACGCAAGCAGAAGAAAGGAAATCAAAAGAAATGCTGATGTGTGGGGCATGCTTCCAAGTAACAGAGTGTGGGGCAGACGACACAGGACTGAGCCAGGACTCACTGGTCATCTAAGCAGCGAGATGGTAACAAGCGGGCCTGTTTGAAAACATTTTCTCTACTTTCACGTTTCACACTGTCCACAAGAAAGCAGGTAAGAGAAACCCTAGAGAAGAACAAAGAGAAAGAGTCTATAAGGTAGTGTTATCGGGGGTCTGTAGTGTAGTACACCAACACCCTATCTGTGTTGAGTCAGCTATGAACCATTTGTCTCCTCTGTATGGACTCAGTCTATGTTGAGGCTACCCACCTCGCTGGACTATCTTTAAAAACAAAAACAAAATGACTACAGCACCCTGTAGGTGTCTACCCACCTCCTTCCCATCTTACCCCAGATCAACTATATCCCTGTTATTCTGACAGGGAAATCACCCGTCATCAAGTATGGGTATTAGAGCTACTAAGAGGTACTGTCCTGCCTTCACTCACCCTTGCTGCGGAGTGTAAACAGAGCACTAAAGCCAGCAGAGGAACAGGAAGCGCTGAGAAACAGCCTTTTGCACCCCCCAACGCACAGAGTAGAGATGGCTTCTATTTTTAGAGTCATAATACAACGGAAAGTTGGTCATCAGAACCACTCACCTCACAGTGACTCAGTTCTATCTCCTAGTAGCCCAATTCATTCATTTTTTTTGAGCAAGTATTAGTGAGCACAAACTGCAGGGCTGAACATGTCTTTATCAACAGTGAGGTGCCCTCAGAAAACAGACACTCTAGAGGAGCCATCACACAGCACACGCTCAAACGGTGACTGGGCAGAGGGAAGAACGGTTTAGGGTACTCTGCTATCACACAACAGGAAGTCCACACAAGCAGAGAGAAGAAACTCAACAGCAATGCTGATGTGTGGGGCATGCTTCCAAGTAACAGAGTGTGGGGCAGACGACACAGGACCGAGCCAGGACTCACTGGTCCAGTGAGGACAAGCTCGCGACGGCGTCCCGAAGGAAATGCCGTTCTTCCAACCCCATTTTGACTCTCCTGATGACACCATATTGTACTTGCAATTTTGCTATGAAATTAACGCACTTAATGTTTACATTTTGAAAAGATCCTTACATGTTCAAGCATTAATATGAACACCCTAATCAGTTCTTCATAGCCATTCTGTCCAAACAGTAATTTGTTATATACAAATACACAATTTGTGAAAGTCCAGAATTTCACAGATCATCTTAGGAAAAAGGGTCACTTTTGTCTCGACTTCACTCACTTCAAAAAACATTAAAATGTACTATCAATTTTTTTCCACCAAAATCAATTGCAGTTATCAGTATTACAAAAGTATAGGGCAATAAACAGGGCAGTAAAAATGAGAATGCTGATGAACAACAGGCTAATCTCTGAACGATAACTGCAATTTTATCATTACATCTGTCTACCTATGGTAAAAGGAAGAAGAGGGGTGAGATAGGAGGGAAACTACAAATAATCTCACTTCCAGCTAAATTCATAGTCTCAAATTTCTTCCACAACATTAGCCCTTGGGCAGGCTTGCCATGAAAGGATTTGGCCATCGTTAATTACAAGAGAAAAAGAAAAGAAAAAAAAAAGAAAGAAGAGAGAAGACGGTCTAACTTTTGAACTATCATGAGAGGCAGGAAGAAGAGAAATCCAGGAGAAGCTGTGGACCCTACTGAAAGAGGGCAGACATACTCGTTGTTTTGTACACATCTTCAGGAGCACTATGACCCCTGGAAGACTATTCCTGGGTTCCAGGTTAAACACCTTGACCCACATAAACAGCAAATTAGGAAGTCAGGTGTAAGATTATCAGCAGTTAAAAGAGCTAAAAAGAAGACCTGTGTCATCTAATTTAATTCAAACCCTTACAATAACCTGGGAAACAGGTATTATCTCCTTTTACAAATAAGAAAAGTGACACTCAGAGAGAGGAAGTCAGTAAGTTAAGCAAAGTTAAGCCCCTTTCTCTCACACCCACGTTTCCCGACCCAAGGCCGGGATCAGGACCTGGAGAACGGAAGGAGCTGGGCGCACACGGCTAGAGATACTCTCTGATGGAGCTTCTCCTTCTCAGCGCTTCCTTCATCTAACCAACGAATCGACGTATTTCTCAATTAAACACAGTCAGGCCGAATGAGTTAATACTGAGACATCTTTTCTTAGCAGGAGATAATTCTAATCAAACACAACAGATAAACCCAGTAAGTTCTGACAATATTAAGTCTCATTTCATTCCTAAAGCAGCCTGACATGGGATTATGTGTTAAGAGAACATAAAGGTCCATCTTAGGAGGGAATCCCTCAAGCTTCGAATTTTAAATTACACCCCCCAAATCATAAAGTCACAAATAATTGAAAAACTGGATGAATGAAAACTTCTGCATCTACTGGAAACAGGCAAGGGAGTGGCAGCTCCAGCCAGTGTGGCCGCTAAGCACCATTTAAATGGTGAGAGCAGCTTCGAACAGACACCGCGACCCTAACAAACACTGATCATGCGGTGGCTCGGAGCACACACGGCCACACGCACAGCGTTTCGCACCTCAAGAGGGTATAGCGAGGAGTCTCGGGTCCGCGGAAACCCTGCGGAGGAAGGCATCCCAACCGCAGGAAACCAGCGGGGCATTCCGGGGTCCAGGCCCTAAACCCGGTTCAGCCTCCATCCAGATCAAAGCACTCAGAGAAACACGAAGACACTTACTCATCCTCTACGGAGGAATTACCAATAATTAGCACCCTGTTTTCAGACCGATTTAGAAACCCTTCATGGGAGATACATCCACACCCACAGAATGGAAGCTAAGAACAAGAGAGGTTCAGGTCCTCTAAAGCTCTACCCCAAGGGCCTCCCAGGAGAGCTGCCACCTAGTGATTTTAATTTTTTAAGCCCAGGCAGGCTGCCAATTCAGCACTAAAACCGGACTAACAACTGATTTTTCCTATTGCAACATCGCCAACACATCCCATGCCTTCTCTCCCTCTTTCCTTTGCCCTCCAACAGCAACTCTCAATTTGAAAATCAACCCCTTCCCCAAACCGTCCCAGGGGCACGCTCCAGAGGACGGCCACCAGGCCCGCGTCTCCCCACAGGGCCCAGAGGCTGGGTGGCCAATTACGAAAACCAAAGCAGTGAAAGTGAAGAAAAGACAGGTGCTAAAAACAAGAACGACTGCGGAGAGACGCGGCGGGCCAGCGCTCAAGACCTTCCCAGCGGCCGAAGCCGCACCCACTCTGAAGGCAGGGTTTTGTCACCGACCCCCATCGGAGGGCTTGCTCTTCCTGAGCAGTGTGCCCGGCCCCGGGGCAGGCAGCAGGAAGCAAAGGCTGACCACTCGGAGAGGAGAAGGCCCAGTCCGCCAGTGTCCAGATTCCTGAACTTTCACGTGGAGGTACACCTCCAGCTACGCACACCTCTCTACAGCTTCCGACCAGTTTAGAGCTCACCAAGTAGATTCGGATTCCGCCGACAATGGTCAGTACAGGCCTGCCTCCTCACATTAACTCTGGCTTTTTTCTTTTCTTCCGTATCGTGCAGCTAACAAAAAACTCTGATCAACTGCAGCCCTCCTTAAGTCACTTCTTTGGTAGCACCTCACACTTGTACCTTGACTCAAACAGAATCAGGTGATAGGGACAGACTTCATCTTTTTCCAAGTTCGAACTTCATCTGATTTCCAGAAGAAAATTCCAGGTGGCAGCGTTTCCACCCCCTGCGCCCGCCCCCCAGCACTGCGGAAATGCCCGCTCACGCTGGGAACTCCTTCCTCCGCTCGCGCCCTCGTGAGGGGCCGGAGGACAAGGACCGAGGTTAAACTCCCCGCCACTGCTCGCGCTCTGCCCCCGGCCGGGCCTCCCCGGAAGGAAGGGTCCGGCCAGCTCCAATCACGGCAAGCTGCGAAGAGGCACAGGCCGTCCGGGAGCGCGGCGCCCGCGGCGGGCGGCATCCCGGGGCGCGGGCGGCAGGGCGGGCGCGCGCTCCTGCCCGCGCGAAGGCAGCGGGGGCGCCTCCCGGGTCTGCAGCAGCTCCTTCGGGGGACCGCACTCACCTTCCCGACAGAGCCCCATGACTTCGCGGTTTTTCCCAAACTCCTTCAAACTTTCGTCCAACTCGGGCCCTAGGAGACACACACACACAGGAGGAGGGGAGAGGCAGGTCAGTGGCCGCGCGACGCGGCTCACGCACGCACCGGCGAGGTGCGGGCCCTCCTCGCTGCGCAGCCCGGCGGGCCGGCGGGCGGGGCG